GCATACAAAGTCAGGAGCTTTCTAGAGAGGAGCATTTATGTTTTATTAAACACCACCCACACAGCAGTTCTTTTATTCCCCTGACGTGCATCTCCGTGAATTTCTGTACACAGACTCACACACCTGAGCTCGGGATCTTTAGCAGGTTCATGCCTTGTGTCCACCCACTGCTGGGCAGTGGACCTGCGGGGTGCAGAGCCCTCTCTTCCTGGCTAAGAATCCAGGAGTGTATGAAACAGGCCACAATGCTCCTTCTTGGAGCAGATGTGCTAGGGGGAGCTGGAGTTTCCTTTGGAGTCCAGTGCACTGTGACAAGCGCGCTGGATACCGTGAGGCGGATGAGGACCCGGGGTGGTAGGAAAGGATTCTCCCCCAAGAGAACCCTGAGCGGAGACCATGGGGAGAGAGAGGCGACCGCAGGGAGACAGTGTGAAGCCTTGTGCATGCTTTTAAGAACTTTTATGGACAGTCCTTCGGCCTAGACACTATCTCATCAGTAAACGTGTCTTTGAGCCTTAGTCGGTAGCGGGGATTGTGAGAGGCAGCAACAGTGGCTGGCGCTAGCCGCCCTGTCCTGGGGAGCAGCCACGTAGCTCCCAACCATGGGGCCAGCATGGGCCGCCGTGACGGTGGCCCCGGAGCGAGGCCGCAGATGTCTGAGCGTGCGGTGCTCTCCGGACACCCACACAGTGGCACCCTTCCGGGCACAGCCCTGGTGTTCAGCCACCACTGAGAGTCTGCTTCCGAGTAGCTGAGGTCACAGCCATTGCTGCACAATCATACCATCAAGAGCAAGTATGGAGCGCTCCTTGGCAGAGCCTGCCCGAGGTCTCCAGGATGCACTCAGCCATCTGAGGCCCACAGCATGAGCGGAGGGAAACGGTCTGCTGCCCTGAGTAGGACCCGGCTGTGGAATGACGGCCAAGACCTAGGACAAGGAAGCCATGGAGTCTGCTGGGTCCAGGGAGATTCTGACCTCTCCTGTGTTTTCCTGGATCTTCATTACCAAGCTGCCTGCCCAGCCTTTTTAATTTTTATTTTGAGGCAGGGTCTCACTAAGGTGCTGAACTGCCAAGGCTGGGTTGGAACTTGCAATCCTCCTGCCTCAGCCTCCCAGAGAGACCTGTGACTACAGGCATTCTCCTCCACACCTGGCTCACATCCTCTTTTAGCCTGCCTTCCTGCTCCTTGAAAATACAGCAGATAACACCTTACCATTCTTGTTAAAATTCAACAAGAAGAAGTGGCAACAGCACCACGTGGCACCTGGCCCACCAGGAAGTTTAATAAATATCCGGTATCTCCCTTCTGGACCCGCAGGTCACAGGAGAGACACCACAGGTCAGGTTTTCCTTGTGTCATCCTTGGCCCACTCAGCTTACACTGGTGTAGATAAAGAAACAAAAATTCCCATAAAGATACGAAATATCATCCCCAGAGTGAAGACCTGCAAGGGGAGGTAACAACAGTACCCATTGCTCTCTGGCTCAGGAGCACCTAAGGCTCGCTGCGCAGTCTGGGCTTGGCCTTTCTGGGCCCCTGTGATGGTGTAATTGGATAACCTCAGAGTGACAAGGAGGACGAGGTTAGTTAGGGACTAAACTGGGTTATTACCGTCGTATTTCAGCCCTGGTGTGGTATCTCAGTGGTACACGTCTCCCCACGAAAGTGTGGACCAAGCTTTGGCGTCCAGACACATGCCACTGAGGTACGGTTTTCTCTATTAGCGATCGCTGATCATCCAAAGTGAAGGCCTAACCCACCAGGCAAGCTGCCCGACGTGCGGGCCTTGCAGGTGGGTTGCACTCAGCTTCGGTGTTTGTTCTTCCAGGACACGTGGCTGGTTTAACAGCAACGGCTGCATGAATGGGCTGCAGGTTTGCTTTCTGTGGGGGATGACTGAGGACTTGGTCACGGTGTCTGGGGCTGATGGTGGACACACAGCAGCAGGGCCAGACCCAGCCTGCAGCAGCGCCCTCCGTGTGCCGGCCTCGCTGGCCTGAGCTGCGTGGTCCGGGTGCCTGGCCGCTCGCTGTGCACAGAAGCACTTGCCAGCCCCAACTCTGACCATCATTTCTCCTGTTCTGTTCCCAGTAGCCCTGTGGGGACTGCTTTGTTGTCTAAGAAGCAGTACTTTGACTCCAAAGGAAAGATGGCTGACGATCATGGTGCTTGTATTTAAACTGCTTAAAACTCCCCTGCCATTGAGGTACTGGTTCCCGATAACTTAGTAACGCAAATTCACCTTCATTTCCCCTTCTTTTCTCTGGTATCCTGAAGTGCCTCTTGGGTTTTATATTTTTTAATCCTTTGGGCAGAGGACTTTTCAAAGGTGAAAGGCTGGGAGCCGGCAGTGGAGCTCAGTGGTAGAGCATTCCCTCATGTTTGCCTCACCTCAGTCTGCTGTCCTGCCTGGGTTTGCTGTCTCTCCCCACCTCTCTCCCTCTTTTCTAGCCTCCCTTTGGACTGACAGAGGCACAGTGTTTTGTCTAAGCATCACAGTGTATCTCCACTCTCGTTCTCTCTTCATTATTTTTAGCGATCACTTCGAAGTTTACAATATGCTGCTTTTTCTTATCATATTTTACCTTCACATAGCGGTCTGTCATTTCATGGAAGAGCCTTATGGCCGGTGAAGTCGTTCTCTGCTTCCTGTTCTTTTTCCTGTTGCTGTCATATACTTTGTGATGTCACAAACCTCATAAGGCGTTCGCTTCGTTTATCGAGCCTTTGCTTGGAAGGATCATGGCTCTGGAAGCGCCCTTTCAGGCTGGGTGTTTTCCTTCTTCTCTACCTGCATACTCTGGCCACTGCTCGTTTCTGTGGCTCTGATGAGGTCTTAACTCTTCTTTCAGGGTTCTTCCCCACATGGTGGATCTGCGTTCTCTGCTGCTTAGAGTATTTTCTCTGTCATCTGGTTTCTTTGGGGCAAGTTCATGATATGCTAGGTTGTGGTTTTCTCAGCGCTATGTTGTATGTTTGTTTGTTTGTTGAGTTCTCTGGGTTTCTTGAATCTGACTTACTCGTTTCAACAGATTTGAAAAAATTTCAGCCACTATTTGCTGTAATCTGTTCCACCCCAGCCCCGTCCCAGGACCCTGGTAATAGGTGTCGGCTTGCATGATGCCATCCCCCAAGCCCTGGGCGCTGTTCCCTCGCATCAATCTGCTTTCCTCTGTGAGTTTCAGTTTGGGCATTCTCTGTTGCTTGTCTGCAAATCTATTGATCTTTAGTTTTATAGTTGATTGACAAAGTGGCAGTCCCATCTTGTCCAATTGTCACTGCAGATATTTTTCTTATTTCTTGCCTTTCATTTCCCGTGTATTGCTTTGTATCTTTCTTCTAAAACCCTTAAGTAACCGAGCATATATATGCCCACGCTTCGATGTCCTTGTGTGTTCATTCTCAACTCCGTCATTGCTAAGCCTGTGTCTCATTTCTTGCTTCTTTGCCCAGGTAGTGAGTTTTCAGCACCACCCAGCCTTTCATTTTATTGTTGGTGGTTTTGAGTGCAAGGCCAGGGCAGCGTTTTGTTGGTTTTCCTTCTCAGCGTTGGGGGACAGGCTTGGCGTATCCTTCAGGGGTGATTTAGCTTCTTGAGCCCCAGCCCACAGCCCCCGTTCTCCACAGGGCTTGCTGCTGCCCTGCTCTGGTCTCCACTCTCCAGGCCCCTTGGGAGTCTGGAGAATTGTTCAGCTTCCAGATCCTCTGGTGTTTCTGGCCCAGCTCCGTGAAGTTGACCTGGCACACAGCAACAAAGCCAACAGAACCCAGTGTATGCTTCTTGCAGTCTTTGTCCACAAGGCTCCTTCCTGCTCGTTGCTCTTCTTAGCAAACCCCATCTGTCCGAGTCTCCCTGAAATCTGACCCTGTGGCTCTAGAGCCCCATAGCCCTGCTCGTCTGCAGTGTGCCGGTGACCAGCTGCGCTGACTCCGCTGTGCCCTCTCTCGGGGGTCATGCCTCGGGCTGCCTGTTGCTGCCTGTCTGGAAGCACTTGGGTGGGGAGTACAGTTTCCAGTGGGAAGGCAAATCCAGTCCCAGGCACCCGTCCTGGCCAAAAGCAGCTGTATTTCTGTGAAGACTCCCGAGCATTTTCTCCTAGACATGAACGTGGACACCGAGACCTTCTTCAGTACCTAGAAAGAAGCAATTGAGAGGGACAAAGAGAAGAAATGCCAGGGTCACTCACTGTATGGGAGATCAGCTTGAGATTCGACCCAGAACCCCGGGAAGGAAGGGTGTGACAGCTGGGAGACATGGTGGCTTTGTGGCACCTGCTCTTTCCTCAGCCTTTTTCCAAGTCTTTCACGCATCAGAAAAGGAGGTCAGGGCAGCCCGCCCCCTCAAAGTATTCCGAGACAGCAGTTTCCTCGCTGAAAGCTACAAGGCCCTTGTGTGACGTGTGGGGCGGGTTTCTTTCCCGTCCGAATGTCCATGGCGCTCGAAGCGTCTCCTTAGTCTTCTGCTTCTGGCAGTGCCCACTGGGATCTCTGAAAGCCAGGCACCCTGCTAAGCGTCTGGCGTTCCCACCGGGGTCGGTCTATCCCTGACTTGCGGGGGTGGACACTGCTCTGGAGCTGAAGAGTTTGCTCCTCATCTCACAGCCTGGAAGGGGCAAAGCCAGGATTTGAATCTGTGCCCTTCTCATTTCATGCCCTGCATCTTTCCCTTCGTCACATATTTTCAGTGCTTATCTTACCAGTGTTTGAAGATACTGGGAGTAGGAACCCCACACTTACACAGGGCCTTGTTCACAGAAAGTCCAGAGGAGGAAGGGGTCAGACATATTTTTCTCTTCTTACTCACTTGGAAAAGAAATAGCCCTAAAGTCTTGGGGTTAACTTACAATTAAAACACTTCTTTATCAGCCGGGCACAGTGGCACACACCTGTAATCCCAGCACTCTGGGAGGCTGAGGCAGGCGGATCACACGTTCAAGTTTAACCTTAGGCAACTTAGTGAGACCTGGTCTCTAAAATAAAAGTATTTTCAAAAGAACTGGGAATGTGGCTCAGTGCAAAAGTCCTGGGTTCAAATCTTAGTACCACAAATAAAAGAATACACAACAAAATAACCAGCAAACAACAAAACACTTCCTTATCCAAAAAATTGTTTCCCACATTAACTTCATCTTATGTTTGTCCTCACAAATTGCAGTTGTTGGAATCAGCTGACCGTATATCTCTGTCCTTCCGTAAAACAACAAATGGCAGCAAGGAAAAGGTAATTTTTATTCTGTTATGAACTCCATACCTCGCAGCTCAGATCTGGGGATAATATGTTTTATGATATTTATTCTTTTAAATTGTGCCTATAAATTACCATCTCTTACAAAACTGATTTTTATGTTTTCTGTAACAAACGTTTATTAGCAAATGTCAGCAGTGCTAGACAACTAGCCACTGTTAGATAAATTTTACTGAAATTAGATACACGGCTTCAAATAAGGACCGAAATAGCACGAGGCCCTGTGACAGGGAACTCGGAGTTTCCTTCTCATTTGCTAACCAAATACTGGATGCAGACGAAGAGTCCTCTTCCCATGAAGTCTGTCGATAAGCAGGTGATAAAGCAAGTGAACAGGAAGCCGCTGGCAGGGACGGGCGGAGCTTCTCGTGCTCCCCAGACTTCTTCGGTTGGATGAGAAAAGGCCAGCCCGTGGGGTGGTGATTTCCACGGTCCGTCAGTGTGCTGCACCCGGCGTCAGATGGCCCCGTGCTGGGAGCGGCAGCCGCTTCTGATCACACTCCTGGAAGCCAGGAGCTGGGTAGAAGGGCGCTTGTCAGGCCCGCGGCTAAGCGTAAGGGGGAAAAGCCTGCCTGCTGCAGGAAGCTGCTAAAACTCTGCTTCCGGGAGATTCTTTAGAAGCTTTAATTATTCAATTAAAAGATGCCTCCAGCACTGGGGCAGCTGAGTGGGAGAGGGAGGAGGAGGGGTGGGGAGCATCCTGTTCCAGGCTCTGAGACTTACTTACTAGTCCATGTTTGCAGGGCACAGTGTTTCCACTGCTTGTGGGGAATCGTGCCTGCGTGGCCCATCGCGGTTCCTTCTTCCATCCCTTTGTTTGTAACAGCGCAGTTCACGGCCCCTAAATATCGGGAGCGGCCTGTGTCCACCAACGGATGGACGGGTGAACTTATAAACAGCGGAGCACCGCCCTGCCGTGAAGAAGGATAAACTGAAGTCATCGGTAGGAAAATGGATGCACCTTGAGAGTGTGACGTTAAGTGAAATGAATCAGACACACACGCTTCAGGATCACATGGCTTCTCTTACATGAGAAACCCAAAGTACAAATAACAGTAAAATTATAGATAGATAGTAGGGGCCACCCATGCGGGATCCCTCCTGTCTCTCAGGAGCAATTCCTACCCCCAGTAAAGTTTACTGCTCTAAAAAAGATAGCGGGAAGCAGGGAGACAGAGCTTTCTAAGAGGGAAGGGGATCTAGAGATGCCGGGAGGGAAAGAGGAAACAAGACACAGGATGAAAATGAAATGAAGGGGCGTTGTGTCCCTGCACGAACTCTCACACCTGGAATTCGGAAAAGCACGAAGAGAAAGGACCGTTGTGAAAGGCCGTCGGTACTGGTTTTTTGTTGTTGTTCTTTTTGTGCTTTTGCAGTGCTGGGATCAAATTGTGGGCCACAGGGATATAGGCCAAGGGTCTTCTGCTGAGCTACACCTGTGCTCCTGTCGGTTCTGCGCCTCTAGGGCCGCTGAGGTGCTCCTCGGAGGTTCCTTTTCACTGGCCGGGATCAAGAGAATGTTCAGGTGCCAGGCACAAGAAACACTTCGGTGGTTTAGAACTAAAAGGACTCCGTTCAGAGCCAGCCACTCCAAATCATGTCCGTTATCAATGCTTGCAAAGAAGTCTGTAGAAGGTCAGTCCTTGTGCGATCTTAAAAGTGAGGGCCAAAGGAGGGAAGAGGAAGAAAAGAGCAGGGTAGAGGTTTCTGTTTCTTGAGACAGAGACTCACAAGTAGGATGGAATTATGTTCACACAGTCTTTTGAGATTGGAGAACTTCATCTTATAAGATGGATAAATATCCCCTAAAGTCACTTTCTTCCTCCCTCACGTAGTGGATTAAGCGACCCCACTGAGGAATTGATTAGTAGCCCCTAGCGGCCTGAGCTAGATTCAGGCAGTAACGTGAGAGCCCCGAACTAACTCGGCTGTTTGGGACCTCTGAGCTCCTCCTCTCTCGCAGGACACAGTTATTTTATATTAAACACTGGTGTTGGCCGCAAGGTCCACAGAGGAGCTATCTTGAGACTTCTTGTCCTTGTAATGTGCTTTAAAAAAATCAGTGAGTCCACTCCTGCCAAGGAGGATGTCCAGGGCCACGGGTCAGCTTCCACGTCTCACGGATGGGGGCCTGAAGGAGGGTTACGGATGCTCTAAACTAAGCTAAAATGTTTTTCATCAAGTTAATTCATATAAATATTGTACTTAATATTCATTCCATAAAGTGTCTCTGTGCCCATTAACCACCTTAAGAAGATGTCTGAGCAGGGTAACCCACGGAGCACGCAGTCCTGTGCCTGGTGGTGTAGTAGTTTTGCTGTCTTTTGAAACAGGGCCTCAGGTTGGCCTTGAACTCGCCATCCAATCGTGACAGGCCCAGTGTCTGTGTTTGGCCTTTAAAGCCTTTCAGTAAAGCTCCCTATCTATTCAGTGGAGAAGAGAGGGGACGGCCTTGGTGAGAACTGTCCTTCGGCGGTGCCAGCTGTCCTGAGCCACAGCCTCTCCCAGGCTGATAGACTGCAGCTTCCTTAGGAAGGGGATGGAAGTTGGAGCTGAGACACAAACAGGAAGCACTGCCTGCAGGCACCACCTCTTTAAATGTCCCCGCGCAGTGCACTGGGAAGTCCTTCTGCCATCGTTTGTCTGTGGTCCTGTAGGGCTGGAGGTGACCAGGGCTGCCCTGCAGCTGCCTGGGAAGGAGGGCGCTGATGGACTCCCTGCCACCCCACCGGGCCATGAGGGGGGCACCTTGGCAGAGGGGTCCGTGCTGCCTCCTCAAGAATATCCTCCTGGGGACTTTTGACCTGCCAAAAGCTAAGGTGCAGTGCACTTCCTGAGTCAATAACTTCTTCCTGCAGACTGGTTCTTTCTTTAAAACAAGTGCAAAGGGTGCAAATGGTTGCAAAAGCTCTTTTTAAAAATCCTGTTTGAGGAGGATGCATGAGAGTTGCATATAGTTTTATTTGGGTACATTGTGTCCTGCAACCATAGATGGTATTTTTTTCTTAACCTTTGAAGTAGATTTTTATTATGGTGTGGAAGTGAGTTTCTAAAGCTCAAAAATAGAAGGAAGATAACTAAGTCCTGACTCTGCTGTGAAAAGACTAGTTAAAAAGGGATCACTGCAGATGCTGAAAAACAAAGCCTAGAAGACTTTGGATTCTGATTCCTGTTTTTGTGCTGGAGGCTTGAACTTACCTAATCCGATCTTTCCAGGTAATTGTCTAATTTTAAGGACATCTACCAGAGCAGACCCCCTTATCCAGGCAAGCTACCCAGTCTTTCATGGGATTAATGCATTTCTGGGATCTCGGCCTTTCCTCTGCTTGTCCAGGAATAACCGGTGCAGTGCAAGTGGCCTCCACCTGGTCCTGCAGTGGAACAGAGGTGGACAGGTAGGCAGGGATGGGCAGCCTGCAGCAGCTCTGCCCCCAGCCTGTGGGCCTGCATCTGTCCCCGTCCTGGGTCTTTCCTCCCTCCTGAACCTTCCAGGGCCTCCTGGAAGAGTTACTCAGACCCCAGTTTCATCCTCAGAGCACTGTCATCCATGTGGCCCTAGCCAGTGACCCTTTAGTTGTCCTTCATTTTTTTCCTGGGCCTTGGCCTCTGTGTGAGTTGTGGGATAGAAGGAGGAGCCTTGGGAGAGAGAATGCTGTTCATTCCCTTTCTGGTAGCTTCGACTCCTACACTTCAGTGTTCCGGATTCTTTTTACTTACGTGGTATTATCTTCCTGTTTACCTACACTGTCTATATTGGTTCCTTACTATTTGTAAATTGCCTCACTAGTGTATTTTGTAACCAAGAAGGAGAGTCCACTTTGACCCCAAGTCTGCCGTGGTGAAGCACTGCGTGTGGTACACAGCCTTGGAAGGTGGGCAGGGTAATTCCACCTGGGATTTCAGATGCTGTAGATAAAGCCAACCACATTTCCACCCTGGTGTGTCTGGCTGTTTGGTGTGCTCCTGTGTGAAAATAGAGATGTATTTTGATGATTATTACCAACTTTTTGTTTGTTTGTTTCTGGTACCAGGGATTGAACTAAGGACCTTGCACTGGCGAGGCAGGCAGCAGCACCACTGAGCTAAATCCCCGGCCCAAATGGGCAGACTTTAAATCTCCTAAGCAATAATGAATCTGCATTATATTTACAGTTTGTTTGGAAGTTTCCCGTTCCATGGTTTCCTTTTTGATGGCCCTGAATATAATCTCTGCTTCCCTTTCTGCCTCCCGCCCCAGTCCGTGTGACTGTCCTTCACAAACACATGCAGTTCAGCTGCTGTTCAACTCCAAGCCAGGGATTAACTGAATAGCAGAGGGCTAATCAGAAGCAAATCAACAAGATAAGTCTTCCCATGTTTAGATTGGGACATATAAATAAAGGGCTGTGTTCTTATGACCTTAAAGTAGGGAAGGATCAAACAGGGACCACTTAGCTACCTGGACAGCAGAAACATTTGCAGATTTGAAGACAACGGACACAATAAGGGGAGGGTCTATCAGCAGAGGCCCTGACGGAAGCCAGACCATCCTAGGAGATGAACTAAAAGGAAATCAGCTCCTCTGGATAAGAAGCCGAAGGACCAAGCACGGCACGAAGGCACCTCCGACCCCTGATCAGCTTTGAATCAGTCCAGCTGATGTCAACACAGGCCCTGCTTGGACGCTCTCCAGCAGAGGGTGAGTAGTTCACGAAAGAGGGACACTATGGTTTCAAGGGCAGCCCAGGGCTCTCTGTGAAGGTGTCACCAGTCCTGGATGGGACGTGGCAAGATTGCACCTGGAACAGTCCCGAGTACGCATCTACACGGGAGGAGAGACCGAGAAAGGAAGCTGTGTCAGGGACGCAAAAGCCTGCCAAGTACTGAAGGGCAGAGCGAAGCTATGGAGAGAAACGGGAGAACTGAGTCGATGGACACAAAGCCAGGTGACTTGAGCAGCTGGTGAATGACAGGTTTACCAACTTCAGGAAGTGAGCAGAGCCAACAGGAAGTGCTCTTAGTAGCAGTGAAGACTGGTGTTAAATAATTCTCCACTTGAGTAAATGAGCACAAAGATGTAAACCTTTTCCTTTCTCTTATGAGTACCCATGGTGAAACCGGGGCCAGGCAGGCAAGAATATTTCCTGCTGGGCTGCAGATCATACCAGCTTAGACTGCCCAAGAGTCCAACTTGGTGCCACATGAAAATCACTCTTTGGGATGCAGACGGTCCATTGTATTGTTTTGTTTGTTTGTTTTGGTACTGGGAATCAAATTCAGGACAGTGCACTTGTGAGGCAGGCTGTAACGGACCATTGTTTTCCTTTGAAAGATCTATGGGACTTGGAATGTTTCTGTTAATTTGTACCCTGAAGTGACATTTTACCATCTGAACCGTCCAGATTAGGTGCCTGGTAATGGAGATGCTTTTGTCCTGTTTTTTCCCCTGTTCTGCAGCACAGAGCTCCTTCCAGGCAGGGCTTCCCTGAGCTTGGAGAGGAGTGAGGGATGTGGTGGAAGTCACCAACCAGGCCCTCTGCAGCAGCCCCAGCACTGGCCGGCACCTGGAGCTAGCGTTGTGTGTGTGCTGGGTGGGGCTTTTTAGGAAAGAAGAGTGAAAATATAGGCAGAGCCATGAGTTTACATTTAAAGATTCTTTAAAATCATAATTGCACGTTAGACATTGTCTTCCACTTCATGCTTTGGCAACAGTGAGTTATTCAGTAAATGTGAATTTTGTGACGATGTCGTGGGGTATATCATGTGATCTGCCTTTGGAAGTACCTTAAAAAAAACCACCCTAAAACAATCGTTTTTGTTTGTTGTTTGTTGTTTTTTCACTAGAGAAATTTATGGGCGTCTTTACCAATATAAACTTTCATCCCTTCTAAACAGCTGGCCAATCCCTTCAATAAAAGAAAACAGAAATCAGACCCAGGAAACCCATCTTGTTTTCAAGTGTCTGTTTTCACTCTTCTAGTCTGAGGCACCAAAGCTTCTGTGGCTGGAGACACTTTGCAGGTTTTGTGGGTGTGGCAGGAGTGGTGCCCAGAGGGAGGCACGAGAAGGTGGCTTCCAGACGGACACCTTGGTACGGGGGATTCAGACAGGGCTCTAGGAAGTGCAGGGCACAGGGAGGCGGAGGGAGAGAAGAATCTAAGAAACTCCGGCCTCCAGCCGTCATCCCATCAAAGCTGCTGTGCCTACATCCTTTTCCTTTGCTTGTCTTATGGTGCGGGAGAAGGAACCCAGGGCACAAGCTCTACCACAGAGCTACATCTCCAGCAGATTATCCCTGTCAAATTCTGGATTTCTATACATGTTTTGTTTTGTTTTGTTTTTTAAGTCAAATTCACCCAGGTTGCTCACACACCACTGGCCATGCGGGAAAGCTGAGCTCTCAGTCCTGGCTTCCGCTCCTCAAGTCTCAGCTCCTGAGTTTGCAGGGAGGGCATGCCCGTGTAGTCAGTTCATGGGTGTAAAAGTCCCCCCCCCCACGCCGTAAGCTCAGGAAGCTACAACCACTCAGGTGCTTTACACAGGCAGCTTCCTTAATCTTCACACAAACCGCACGCAGAAGAGGTTTTCCACAGCTTGAAGGTAGGGAAACTGAGGCATGGTGAGGCCCAGTGTCCGGCCCAAGTTCTTACAGTTTAGTGTCAAGGCGAGAAGGGGACCAGTTTGTGTGACTCTCAGTCCCTCTGCCCACACAGTGCGGAATGAAGGACAAAGTTTTTCATCTGCCTGTGCTTTTCCCTCTCGGGATAGGAAACCTCTTCGTGGTTGTGGTGCAGGGCTTTGAACAATGTGGGTGGGCTGTGGTCTTCCTGAGGGGCTCAGTTTCCAGCCCTTTTGCAGGGGGCTTGGAACGGGGCCATGCTGCGGCCCACTTTAAATCGCATTGGTTCCTCTTCCCACTAACATAGACCTTGGTGTGTGCGTGCGCTTGTGTGCGTGTGGTGGTGCTGTGGGGAGGAGGTGGGTGCCGAGAGAAGAGAATGGAGTCACATTTTCCGAAGGAATTTACTGCAGAGAATTACAGCACGTCCTTAACCCTAACTCTACCCGGGCTGACCAACTTCTGTCCACTCTTCGGCCACCGCCCGGTTTGTCAGCGGGTCCCTCCGCCGGAGTCCAGCTGGGGTTGCCCGCTTCCGCTCCTTACTGCACCCCCAGCCCTCCCGGAGTCCCTGACTCCCGAAGGCCCGGTGGCAACGCCTTCCTCCCGGGCAAGGGCACTGCTCTTCCGCGCGGCCTTCGGACGTCCCTTTCCCTTGGCCACAGCTGGCCTTGTTAATTCCTCGGTCAGGCCATCCTCGAGCTGCTTCTGCTGTTAACCTGAGTCCCCGCTCTTCCTCTCCAAGGCTCTTCTTCAGGGATCTGAGTGCACTGGGCGCTTCCCACATCCGCAGCGTGACCTGGCCCTGGGCATCCCTGGGGCGACTCCAGACCCTCAGCGCAGTGGTGAGGTGAGGTGAGGGCCGCGCCCTACAGAGACCACAACACTTTAGGCGGTTTCACATTTTGCTGTTGGCTTCTGCTGAGCACAGCCCTGCACCCAGCCAGGAAGCAGTTGGTCGTCCTATGCATGACCAGCCCAAGTCTCTGGACTTTCCGCTCCTTCCTGTCGAATCTCATCCAGCTATTCTCAGTCCACCAGCCCTGCTCCCTGAGAAACTCCTGATTTTTGGATTGTTATAAGAATGGCCTATGAGACTCAGGGGGGAAATGATCTGAGGGGAAAAAAAAAGTCCCAAGTCTCACAAATTCCTAGCAAATCTTCTCTAGCGATGTCTCTGTGCCGACTGCTGACTCCAGAGCCATCCTCAAGCGGAAGCCCAGCTCCAGAATCCTCCCAACCCAGGACTGCTTCAGCATCCACAGGATGGTGCCCCAAGTGGGACATTCCATGCCTGAGGACACGGGACCTGTCCCAGTCAAACTGCAGGCTCATGAAATTATCCTCAGCTAGGTGTGTAAGGTGTGTATGGAAAATAATAAATGTCCTGTTCAGACTTCAGTACCATCCTCAAAATATTTCATTATGTAGATATTCAGTACTCCCAAATCTGGAAAAAAAAATCCAAAACACTGGTTCCAAGCATTTTAGATTTGGGATAATAAATCAATATTGACACTGTAATTAAAATGGTTAATCGCACAAAGTCTAATTTTAAAGGTGCTCGTGTTGTCGTTGTAACTTGTATTCTGCTTTGAGTAGAGTGGAAGACAAAACTATAAAACAGTTGTTTTTCCTTTTATAGAGTATAATCCTTTATTCTTTGAAAATACATCATTGTCAAAGATAATCAGCAATGCCTGAGTTTATCTTTTGAATCTCTGGCCTGTTCACTGACTGACTCAGACCTCTGCATTTATGGAAAGTCTGCCAAGGATCTTGTCTTGGGCCAGGTAGTTGTAGAAATGTTAAAGATCAGGTTAAATTTCTATATTTTCAGGCTTATTTAGAGATATAACATGCAGTGAATAAAATAATAATGTACATTAATTATGCACATTATCAAGAAGTTCTGTACCTAATCACTGTCAGGGTATAGAGAACTGGGCACAGTGGGAGCCTACAAGGGTACTTCTGAATTGCTATAACCAACCCTATTTCAGTATTTTTCCCTACCTGTCACTTCCGGAAGCTCTAGGGACCAAAGGCTACAACCTTGATAATGTCACCAGTTAGCCAGTAATGTTACAATTGTCCAGAGTGGTTCTCTGAGTTTCCTTTCTATTGAGTAGTGGACATAAGTGTACCTGGAAAGGTGGAGAACTGTGATAGTTACTTGTTTATCATGTGTTTTATATATTTAAACATGTTACATGATTAGGTTCTGATGACAGGATTACACTGACCCATTCTGGAGATAAGGGGCACCTGGGTCTTGCTGTGTACATGGGTTATTTCATCAGTAAGAGGCAGGTTTGTGAGTGGATTCACATGAGTCCAATTGCAAAGCTCTTTCTAAACTTCTGTAATCCCGTGTCCTCCTTGACTCCCACTGATTGGTCTACTTATGGGATCACAACTAGGTCATTACAGATGAATTTCTGCATATTTTATTTGTGTAGGGGTCAGAGATGAGTTTGAAAACAAGCTGAACTGTTAAGGAGCTTTTATATAAGCCAAGAGGTCTGAGACGTCTTCCCAACAACGGGGAAAGCTTCATTAAATTACCCTTAGCATGAAAACAGAATGCTAAGGTTTTCATTTTGACAGTGTAGTTCTTACAAGGATGTGTGGAAAGTATTAAAATGGGAAGAGATAAGAGATTGGAAGATCAGTTAGATGATGCTATAATATATTGTATCATAAATAGACTCTGGGTTCCAATAAAACGGAGTAAGTGGACTTGAGAGATCCATTTGAGGGAGACTCGTGTGTACTTGTGGACCTGTCCAATGTGCAGCACACTGAGGACAGGAGCACAGCATTGGGAATGGACAGTGTTATGGGAGGGTCTGAGGTCACTATGAGTAGAGAGACACTGCCCCTTTGGGGGTCGAGGCTCTCCTTAGCTTTCTTCCAACTGATGGCCATCTAGGGACTCCTTTGGGATGCAGATATTTTCCCTGCAGCACCATGGTTCTAACCATCCTTTCAGGCAGTTCCCCTGGACAGTGGTTACGCCATTAGCCCCTGACTCCTATTGGTGACACTGTAGACCTGGGAAAGGTTCTGTTGTTATACATTGGCTAAGGATTGGCAGAGTCTAAAGATGGGGAGAAGCCATTCACAACTTGCTTGTTTGATCGGAGGTCTCAGCTTCTCTTTAGGATTTATTTCCCATAAAGTTGAAGTGTTATCTTTTTAATTTCAAAATAAATTAGTGCAATGATGGAATGACTGGCAATCCCTCCATGAGCTCCAGGTTTCCTGTAAGAAGTCTTGGAGAGTTTATTGGCAGGATCCTGTGTCTTACAACTATTGAATTGACTGTTTGCATTGCCCACTCACAGGCAGCTTTCTGGCAGGAGTCACTATCGGAGAAGCAAAAATACAGCAAGTGCCCTGTGAAAAAGTGCCCAGGACAGGCATGGGCAGCAGTTCTGACTCTTGATTCTGACTGCCTAAGTTTGAGTCCTACCTTTTCCTATCTTCAGGGCAGTGATAATGCTCTTTTAGTATGTCTCTTTATCTATAAAGGGGATTATGACAGCATTTCTCATGGAATTATTGAGGGTATCCCACAGGAATCTTACCAGTGTGGACCATGAGCCAGTGTTGCCTATAATTACTTAACTCGAATGCATTGCACCTAGACTCCGTGCTCTCCTTTATTCCATTTCCAGTGACTTCATGAGTGCTGCACTTCCCGGAAGCATTTCCATGTGACTGTCCTGAATCCGCGGCAGTTCCTAGCGAGGTGGAATCGTGCAGAATAGATTTTCTGTCACTGAGGGATGTTGGACTCTCACATCCGGTCACCGTAATGGACCGGGGGGACCATGCTTCCTGGCATATCACTCCCTTCCTCTTCAGATTCTCACCCTCCTGGTGGTGCACCAGCCTGACTGCACCTTGGACAGGGCTCAGGGAATCCCAGTGACCTTTGGGAATTCCGGTGTGGTTGTTTCCTTTGTTCTTTTGCTCATGCTGGTGCATGAAGACTGCTTGCCTGCATGCCATAGATGTGTTTCACCACAGCCCATAATGTAGCATCATGCAGGCCTGAGGGACCTCCCAGTGGGACCCTGGATGACAAACACCAGGTTTCGTTTGGGTCCAGGGACACTCGAACGGTGCACTGTGTATGAGGTAAAGCAACCCAGCCCCATGTCCTGTGGAAATCCCCCCAAAGCACGGGGTTAAGATAAAGACTCCTCCTCCAGGGAGCTCATGAGTTGTGGGATTTACATGATAGAGAAATGAATAATGGTGCTGGTAACACAATCATTTTCAGGAATTCACTATGTCTATCACATTTCTTTGCATAGACCAGATAGCAGGAGGCTCTACCTTTGCATGCATGTGCTTGGTTTTTACAAGCTATGAAGTATGATAAAAAATTTAAAAATTATTATACCATGCTCATATTTACAAGGAAAAATATAATAAATGTTTAAGTTTTTAAACATTTATTACAGGAAAAGACACATTGTCACTGATCCCCCTCAAAATGCTCCCTGTCACTTGGAACACACTTATCCCATCGCCCCTGCCTCTTACTTCTGGAAGTCCTCTTTCGCAAGTGTCTTTTCATGGCTGCCTTGATGTCTTGAATCAACTCGGCAATTTCCGTCAGAGAGAAACACAATGGCAATGTCCTCACCCACTTCATTTACCAGATCTGGCACCGTGTGTGTTTTCTACCCGGCCCCAAGGTCAAATTGACCACGGAAGGTGAACACTGAATTGATTTAGGACATCCTGGTAGCCACAACAGTGCAGCACAGACACTCAGGAAAGAAGGCTCCAGGACTGCCTCAGAAAGTAGCAGGAACAGTGGGATAAGTGTGTTGGAAATGAGAGGCAACACTTTGAGGGGGTTACTGTCAGTGTGTCTTTGCTGTCATCAATTTTTCAAATTTTAAACATTTACCATATTTTTAATTAAACACGAGCATGATGTTCATGTTCTGGGTTTTCCATTTTGTTTCCATCAGAATTCCTCTAAGTCTCTGTGTGTAATTCCAGAGTTCAGAAATGCCAAGATCCCCTAAATGCACTTTATATGAATCTTGACTACCCAGGTGCCCGGGTGGGTTGAGCTCGTGTTCAACTGCTTGATAGTTTTCTCGTGCAGTAGGAATGTTTGCCTGTTCTTGTTCATATTTTAAACGTCTTTCTCATTTTCCAGAAAGATGTGTCAGGTAATGAGGGACTTGTGCAGGCCTCTGGAAATTCTTTCTTGCTTTGAATTACCCTGGCCTATGTGTCTTTCTAACAAAATTCTGGAGAACTCGAGTGTCACTAACAGTGAACCTCAGGGCCCTTAGCATATTTAAGAGAACAGATAGGACTCTGGGGTGCCCCAGTGGTACCGTGCCTGCCATGTACAAGGCCCTGGGTTCAATCCCCAGCCCCGCAAGGAGGCAGGAAAGGAGGGAGAGAGAGCTGCACCTGCAAGGCCATCACTGGCCAGTGCCAGCAAGTCCTGTTCAGCTGGAACTGTGCCTTAACCCAATATTCGCTTACACCATTTCAGCTGGGGAAGCTGAGAAAATCGATCAGTCTTGCAGTGCACATGGATTTCACAGCCACAGAATGTCAGTTTCTTTATTTCTTGCCATATATTTTATATTCTAATTCGGAGCCCTCCATTTGAACAGACTGTAAGAAAACTTAATCTGGTTGCACCCCAAATCCAGCCAGCTCGGTCCAATTTCACACTTTTGAAGTTGCTCCTGGGTGAAATTGAGGAATATAAACGACTTCCCCCCCTGTGGCCCCACTGAGGCCAGCAGGGCCCTCACAGCAGTGCTGGGGGTGGGGACCCAGGGCAGCTGCCTGCCCTGAGCTGAGCTCCGGCCCCTCTACCCCTCCGCCCTGCCGTCCTGACCTTGTCTCCAGCCCACTGTCCCTGCCCTCTGGAAGCCAATCAGGGCCTCTCTCTGCACCCCGCAGGAGTGCGTGGACCCCACACCCTAACCCAGACCAAGCTGCCCTCACACGGGCTCTGTCATCCTGTGATGATCTTCTTCCTCTCGGGTTTTTTTCCCTTCTCTTCTGATCAGAGCAGGATGGTGTAAAACTTGTTCGGCCAGTCCATATCTCTGCAAAGCTATTTTTGTCTCTCATTTGAACTACAGCCAAGAATCTGGAATCTTTGTTTGCTGATTTTTTCCTTCCCGATAATTCTCCCTGGGCCTGTGGTGAACTAGCCGTGCCCTGTCTCTGGGAGGATGGGGAGGGAAAGGGCAGAGGCGAGGTGTCCGTCAGCATCCTGACCTTCATGCTGGTATCCAGCCCCCAAACCTGACTCATCCACCCAGGTCCTGAGGAGTTTCTGCCTTCCCCGAAATGACAGCCATGCGCAAGGCCCTCCCATGAACCAGAGCCTTGCTTGTCGCCTTGGCCGCACTGCACTCAAACTTCTGGGCTCAAGACTCCTCCTGCTTCAGCCTCCCAATTAGCTGAGACTATAAGCATTTGCCATCTCCATGCAGACTTCTAGTTTTAAAATGTTTTCCTGAGGAATTTGATTAGAGTATTCATGAGGGGTCCATTAGTGCCTGCATGTGTGTGTGTGTGTGTGTGTGTGTGTGTGTGTGTGTGTGTGTGTGCGTTCATGTGTGTGTGTGTGAGGTCCCTCCAAATTGTAGAGTTCCACATCCTTGGATTCAACCAACCTGAGAATGAAAATATTTAGAAAAACCCTGTGCCTATCCTGCCTTAGTCAACCTTTGGTGATTTTTCTGTAAACATTGCAGAATACCAACCACCCACGTCGTGTTTCCACTGTGTTAAGTATCAAGCTGGTCCAGAGCTGATGTGCCCCGGAGCTTCCGTGCAAACACTGAGTACTGGTGACCAAGAGGATCCCAGAACCACAGCCCAATGGATACTGAAGCCCAACTGTGTATATATGAGGGGATTAAATTCCTATAATATTTATGTGTAAGTTATAAAAGTGTGCACATGTATGTTTATATAAAATACACGTGGACCTAGTGTGTATATGTGGGTCATAAACTTAGAGCATATTGTGCACATTGTATATACAGTGGGTGCCCACACACACACACACACATTTCTTGGACAGACTTCACCTGGATCTTTCTAGGAGCTGCTGCGTCATGGTGCACACTTCCATCCTTTTCCTTGGCTTCGCTTTCTTCCCCTTGGTATTGCACTGAAATTGCACGAAGGAGTTGGAGGTTTCAGGCAGGGCCCTGTGCCCAGCATGACCTGGTCTCCTTGCCCCTGGCAGCCCCAATTTCCAGTCTGTTCCTCCAGGAGGCTGCTGTCCCGGGCTGGGCATTCTGCCTGTGCCCCTGGCACTCAGTTTGTTCGTTTATCTTTAAAGCCGGCCCTGGGTAGACCCGCTGGAGGTGCTGGCCTTTGAAGCTCTGAGAGAAGCAGGCAGTCCTATTCCCGCAGCCCCTGGGGAAGGTCCAGACCCTTTCTGTTCTCAGGGCATTTGCTGCTCACCCCAGGGAATGTGCACTTGCTGGGCACCTGAGTGCAGGTTGGACAGCTCCCTGTGCCTTGCAGTGAGGGGTTCATCCCAGCCTCCCCGGCTTTCCGCTCCCTGGTTGGGTCTGCCAGTGGGAGGCCAAGGGTGCAGAGAAAGGGGCCTGACTGTTATGCAGATGCCCGGAGCTCTTCCCATGGTCCTGTCCTGTGGCTCCTGTTCCCACTTCGGGTTCTGTGGCTGCGCCAGCCCCTCCTCAGCCCCTCCTCCCTCGGGCCTTCTGCTCTAGGACTGGGGTTGCCTCCTCCCAGGCCCTTTGTGTTATTGCTGGCTTCCCTTTCTGTTGATTGCACTCTGAAAACAGCCAGATCCCCTACGTGCAAGTCTCTCGGGTTGTCCTGTACCCCAGGACCCCAGCGAGTCTGTGCGGTTGTGGTTCCTTCAGCTCTGGGCCCCCCACTCAGCTGCGTGCTGCTAAATGGACGCAGGCCACCAGGCTCAGCACCTCTTGGAGTTTGGTAGAGATGCAGGCTGAGGTTGTGCGCAGACTTAGATTCAGAGCTGGGGATTTAATGGGATTCCTAGGGAGGAAGTAGCCAAGGGCCTGGCTGGGTTTAAGAGCTCCATCCCCCAACTTTCACTTATTTATTTTTGCAGTACTGGACATTGAAACCAGAGCCTTTCCACTGAGCGGCACCCCCAGTGCTCTCCATATTTTATTTTGAGACAGGGTCTGGCAAGGTTGCTAGCTGTCGGATTCTTAGCAGAATCGCTCTTACTTCAGGGAAAGCCCACAAGATCCTTCCCCTTCTAGCCTCCTCCTCTCCTTCTCCCCAGGTTCCTTTTACCTCTTTCCCTGTCTGTTCCTAAGCTCACTGAGCCATGCTAAACTCCAGGCACTGTGGGGACCTTGGGCATAGGAAGAATAACGAGATACATCCCTGCCCTCCTCTCATTTTAGAGCAGGAATGAACACTTGTCAGAGTCAGTTTCAACACAGAAGGAGGCATGCACCTGTCAGAGCTAGGAGCAAAATCATGTGGGCCCAAAGACCAAAGTTATCCAAACTAAAGTTACCGTGTCTGATGAAGGACAGAAATCTGTCTGTAAAATCTTTGAAAAGCGATGAATTTTCTAATTTTAGTCACATTTGGAAATCTCGAATGAAGACACTTGATTAGAATCCCCTGTCCAGAAACTTAATCTTAATGTCACATTTGACAAATAGCAGCGTCTCCCTGGGCCACATCCGTAGCCTCCTGGTTCTCTGTGTGAAGGCATCAAATGCCTGTGGTCAGCTGGAGTCTAAGAAATAGGTCTGGGTTCATTTTTATTTCCCCAAAAGGAAATTCATGGAGAAAAAAACCCAAATGGTTACCTCATAGGCCATCTTTGGAATTAATTTTAATGCTTGTTGAAGAACCTCAATCCCCTTTCCAAAGGGCTCTCCTAGGAGTTCCTAATTAAGTTGAGACTTTTTTTTACCTGTCAGCAATACTCCCGTTCAAGCCCTTGCATAATTCACATAAGTGAAATAACACAGATTCCAAACTACCTAAAGCACCAATGGAGAAACACTACATCTTATCAAGACATTTTAAAAGAAACATTGGCTTAGGACTGCGCTATTGATTCATTCATCCATCCGCCCCGCACATCCACCCACTGTCTGCCCATCCATCTGTCCATCCATCCATCCTTCATCCTTCCAGTCAAGCCACAGGAGTGTGTTACTTCTGACCTCTTTCCTCGCCTTCCTGGCCCTAGAACTCCGAGATAAGACATCCACTTCATTCTAGACTCCAAAACTTCCTTCCTCCTTCACCTCTCCTTTCCTTGGCCCAAGACTACCTCTGACCTCTAAGTGTTGCTCCTCCCTCTCTGCTCCACTGTCAGGAACCAGGACTTGGGTTGAGTTGGTGCAGACTGGCAGGAGTGACACCCCACGGTGGCCCTGTCATTCCGAGACCCCTGGTAGGTTGTTATGCCAGCATGTGGGAAATGACTGAGCCAGCCAGCAGGTCTGAGAGTTCCAGGGCCGCAATGGAGTTGAGCACATGAGATAGCGTGCTGTGTCTGCGATGTAAGAATGGGCTTCCGGGTAGGTGTGGGACCTAGACCGAGATGGACACTTCCGTTTTCCAGTGACTCAATAGTGCCCTGCAGTGGCTCATGAAATCAACTCTTATGGTCACTCTCAGCATTTGAAAAACTGAAATAGAAGCGGAAATAGGTCAGAGCACAACAGACATAATGAGATGATTCCATGAAATTTTTGTGTTATGTATATGATGTGCTATATACTGGGTATAGATAAAATTTACATTTCTAATTTATATGGATTGACAGTGAATATTTTTTGAAATGCACAGTGCTTTGGATGAGGAGGTTTTTTGAGCAGAACAATTTGGAAGTAGGTATTTAACTGTAAATGCAGGACCAGAGTTAATTGAACAAAACAGAATTTTAACATCAAATGGCAAATGTAATGAGTCTGGGGTCGATCATTTGTACCAGCTGAACTGAATCCCTAAAAAATGACTTCAGCTGGTACCACTTAAAATTGCTTAAGAGGCACCAGGTGTAGTGGTGCATGCCTATAATCCCAGCACTTGGGAGGGTGAGGCAGGAGGAGGCCAGCCTGGGCTACATAGTGAATTCAAAGCCAGCCTGAACTACATAGCAAGACCCTGTCTCAAAACATGAACAAACAGAAATTTGATTAAAATGACAAAAACAAATCTCACTCACAGGCCAAAACTGCCATTTTAAAGCTGTTTGCTATGGCTGTTAATATATTAATGTTAATAGCTATTAGAGCAATTTGAAATGGAAGAAAACCCCTAAAATTATCAAGTGTTCTTTTTAGAACTCAATTTCTTCTCAGCAGGGCTTTTTATACTTCAGAATTGTTTTTGGTCTAAGACTTTGAAATGTTCCAATGTGATCATTTATTCAGAGTCAGATTTTGTATTGAAAGTATATTTTGAGAACAGGAAAAATCAACTAAAATAAAAATCAGTGTCCCATGAATTTAAAAAGCTCTTTAAGCAACGTCTTTATTTATGCTTCCTTTGTAGTCATTCCCTTCCACTTTTTAAGTATGAGATTATCAAAGAAAGCAAAATGGTCATTAAGATAATCTCTTTTTTTAAGGGATGTTGTCTATAACCAGGGAAAACTTTTCTTATAGATTCATAGTTTTGTTTGATTTGGCTTCTGGGCCACCCTGGGAATTGAGCCCAAAGCCCAAACACTGAGCTTCACTTCCCGCCCTTTCCTATTCTGGGACAGGGTCTCCCTAAGTGGCTAAATTGCTTGGGCTCAGCTTGGACTGGGGACCGTCCAGCGTGGTAGGATTACAACCATGTGGCACCTGCTCCTGGCTGAGATTCCTTAATGTAAAATGGATTCTGCTGGGGAATTGAGCCCGGGACCTCATTAGTGCTAGGCAAGTGCTCTGCCACCGAGCTGCCCGCCCCCGGCCTTGATGTAAAAGCTGAGACCCTCCTTTGCGGCGGTCTGTCAGTTATCCACGGCTGCACCTGCCCCTGCCCCTTCCTCCTTGACCAAGGCCCGGGTTCCATTTCCACCGCGCATTCTCATTCCTTGGGCAAGGCTGCTCCGCTGAAGCTTCCGGGGACCCTGGCCTGGGGCAATGGCAGCCCCCCCCGCCCCCAGCTTGTGATCCCTTTGTATATCGCAGCTTTGGGCTGCACTTGCGGATCTGGTGTTTCTTCTGAGCGCCTGCACTTTGGCCTGGACACAGAGAGAGCAGGAGCAAGGAGCATCCACGGCCCAGGGCAACTGGCTCCAGAGGGCACCAGAAAAGGCTTGGTGGGATGTTGACGTGCGAACGGGCCCTCAAAAGGTAGGCATGTCACTTGTCACTTGTCACGGGACGTTCTTGTCGGAGAGAACAGCTCCGCGAAAGCTGAACCGGTCCCTGGCTTGTGGAGGCCAAGGCCTCAGGAGTGCAGGTCGGGGAGGCCTCGCAGGGAATGGGCTGCGAGCAGACGTGAGGGGCGGAGAGCTCTAAGGGGTTGCGGCCCCGGGTGGCCCCCGGCCTTGGCGCACAGGGAGCCGCAGGAGGCCGGTAATGTGACAGAGACGGGCCTGGAGAAGTTTAGTGTCCCTGCAGAGGCGTGGGTCCGAGAGCAGCAGACATAGGGGCCCAGACAGAGCCTGAGCAGGGGACACAGCAACAGGGGGCGGAGCCAAGGCGCGACGGAGAAGGGCTTGGCACAGGGACCTCACTCCCTTGGCCCGGGCCCCTCATCACTGGAACGCGTGGGACAGCTTTCTGTGTACTACGAGGTCCCACAGCGCAGGGGACAGGCCACTCGCCTATGGGCACCAGGACGATGACTTCTAGGAGAACATGATCACTGCGGAAATCTAGAGGAAGACGGGACGCACATGAAGAAAATACAAAGAACCTGTGAACCTTTCA